CCAAGTTATAAAACTCGCCTTTTATAACAATCATTTCTTTATAAAAAGAAGGATTTTGTCATGCAACTTTCAGTCTCTTTATTGGTGTCTCAGCATAGTTGATTAAAATCCCTGGAAGCATTCAGAAACTCTATTTAATAGCACAATATATCTTGATATTGGGAAAAGAGAAAAAATATATAAAGGTACTTGCAGGTTGTAGATACAAAAAGCTAATTCCCTTCTCTGGAGGAAGAGCTCAAGGACTTCAGCTTTCTCACAAAGCTTGTTCCTATAGAAAGGATCCTTTCATATGGGACAAGACTGATCTTTAGAGGCAGTTTGCATTTGATGCCATGTGGTATTTTAACTCTGTCAAAGAAGATATGTTAAATCTATTGCAGTCCTGGTATCCTCTGTGTCACAGCTATTTCCATGACCTCAGATTCCAGGGATAAATATTCATGGCTAATGGGAAGAGACATCACATCATAAAGAGAGAGATTACCAAGAAAAGTTCTAAAAGGTTGTATGCCATTAAAAATCTGGTGGTCATGACAGAGGCATTATTAAGTTTGTGGTAGTGTACAGTGAGTTTGGTGGTAGTCAGGAACAGAGTGCACTGACATATTTCACAGCTTGATCTGAAACCTGCTGATGGAAAGAAGTCTTTTGACTTTGGTAGTTTTTGGATTAAGCATTTTGTTGACATTGTTATTGTCATCGTTTTATCTTAAGCAAGTATTAAGCAAGCACATGCTGCAAGTCATTGGCCTGATTGAATAATGTGTAGCATTGCTATGTTTTTGGAACACTGGACATGGGTATTTTGCAGTTGCTTGATTCCTGAGGCTTGTCACTTCAGAAACTCAGCTTTAGTGTTGAATAAACTTATCACTGCAGATCTGGCATGATAGAGTGTAACACAATATGTTCTGACTAGCATGTAATCCTTCAGCGGATGACTGTAGCTCCGGGGATGTTAACATAGCACAAGCTACTGTTTTAGAACACTTTCCATGGTGTTTAGCAATGCGCAGCCTTAGAACATGAATTTGTCAGACAAAATTGTACAAAGGTCGAGAAAATCAGTGGCAACTAAAACTATTTCAGTTAATGTTCATTTAAGGACTTTTATGATCAGAGCTAGGACTGTAATGCTCTTGCTAAGATGCTGACTATGTTGCAAACATGCATTGTGCCAGGAGAGATGTTAACAGAGAATTTAATGTCTGTAAATAAAGATGAGAAGAAACTCTATCCCCTCAGGAAACTTGTGCCCAAAATACTTTACCCATGTTCTTTTACCCATTAAGAATCAAGTAGGAAACATTTTTTCCCCCCTGATCTTTGAGGGATAATGTTAAATTACAGGTATCTTGCCTTTCAGATTTCACAGTGAGCTTGTAAATCCAGCACTTGATCTTGCACATTGCTGAGCTCATTGTCTGGTTCCACAAGATGCACTGGTGTCTGTTCTAAGGTCATTGTGCAGATACTGACACTACTCAATATAATGAGGTGTAAGCATAATATTCAGAATTTTTGACTCTCTAGAAAAATATTGGAAAAGTTAACAGGACAATGTTGTGCCTGTTACAGGGCAAGCTTAATCTGCTCTTACTTATGTGACTATATTATTTGTCCAATGATGCTAGCAAATGACTGTTGGAGGAAGATTAAATATTTTCTACTCCCAGTTCACTGAATCCACTGTGAAATTATTGGTAAATCTTTTAGGATAGATTTTTACTTTTCTTTTAGCATATTAGAATCTCATTCTTTTTCAAATCCATTACATTAATACATAACTTCCTTTATAAAACAAGATTTTGAAAGTTAATATATAATTTTCTGCTCACCTTGTGCCTGTTCCTAATTTTCTCCCATAATGAGTTCAAAAAATACACTATATGTTTCTCAATCTCTGTTTTTATGGTTTTTGGCTTTATTTTGGGCAACTCTATAACTTCTCAAAAATATATATGCAGAAAAAAGGCAAAGTTGTTGACCTTGAGATACTGGGTATGCACTCATGAGAATTAAAGAAACCCATTTCCAGGAGAGTAAGTTTTCCCAGTACCAAGAACTGTATTTAAATATACAGTCAAGTGATGTAATAAGCAAGTAAAGGTCAGTATCTCAAGTCAAGTTAATGTGTTACACTGATATGTAGAGAATAGTAGCTAGTGGTGATAACGCAGTATGGAATTAAATTAAAAAATGTAAAATAAGAAAGGTAAATGTGTAAAATCAGGATGAAACATTATTTTAAAAAAATTTAATAGTGATTTTTCTGTTAGAGCAGAAATGTCACCTATCTTACCTACCAAGTTTAGCAACAGAATCTCAGAAAAGGTTTGAGCATCTGCAGATGAGAGGTTTGAGTGAACAGTGAATCAAGGAGAGGAGGAATGCATTTAGGGACTAGACACTTCTTTTATTACCTTAATAATGTAAAATACTTTAACCTGTATAAGACAGTCAGATCATATAATCCTACCTCATCAAAAGCAAAAAAATGTATTTAATGTTTGCTTCGCACTTAAGGTGTTCCTCCATGTTGTACTGTGTTACTCATACTATTTGCTATCTGCTTAAACTGACGTTAGGCTGACCTGGTGTAGTTGTTCATATTTGCCAAGCTACTGTTCTTATACTAAGCTACTCTTACAATAATAGAATAATTCTGATTGAAAGGAATTTAGGGATGTCTCCAGTCCAACCATTTCCTCAAAGCAGGGGTCAGCCCTGATATCAGACCAGGTTGCTTGGGGATTTAACCAATTGGATCTGGAAAACTTGCAAGGACAGAGACTGCAGCCTCTCTGGGAAATCTGTGCCACTGCCTGGCTGTACTCATGGGGAAAAAAATAATTATTTTACACTCTGTCTGACTTCAGCTTGTATCCATTGCTCTTCATCCTCCTGCCATGCACTTCAGTAAAGAGCCTGGCCTCATCCCTTTAGTGACCACCCTGTAGGTATTGGGGACTGCTGCAAGGTTGCCCTAAAGCCATCTCTTCCTCCTCAGCCTCTCCTGACCGGATGAGTGTTCCAGCCCCACAATTATCTTTTGGTTTTCCACTGATAAAATAGCAGAGGAAAACTACAACCCACAGTTGAATGAGAAAGTGGTGTATAGGGTTGGAGAGTAAAGGCAAGAATGAGAGAGACCTCAGGAAGAGAGAAGCAGGGCAAAGGGATGTCTCTTTCAAGTTCACGCATGTAAATGCACACTGCCTGGGAAACTTGGGCTCTCCGTGTGTGTCAGGATCTAAGGAGAAGCCAGTGAGGGGTGACATCGTGGTAGAAATGTGTTACAGACCACAATAATAAAATGAGAAATCGGACACCATTTACTTTGAACAAATTCAGATGTCGTGGTTTGGGCCTGGTTGGCAGCCAACCACAATGCAGCACCTCTCTCTCCCTTCCCCTCCGGCAATGAGAAGGGACAGAGAGCCAGGTTTGGGGTTCAAGATAGGACTGGGACGGGGAAAAATTCCCCTTTATGGTCACGAGGAAAAGGCAGACTCGTTAGGGGAAGAAAAAAAGACATACATTTATTACAGACACTAACAGCATATAAGAGAGTGAGACAGTGAGAAGCATTGCCACATCTTGAGAACACCTTCCAGCCACCCCTCCCTTCTTCCCGGGCTCAGTTCTGTTCCCGGTATCTCTACCTCCTCCCCCAGTGGCGCAGGGGCAGGGAATGGGGGGTGCAGTCAGTGCTGCCACTTCCTTCATCTTCGGTGAGGGGAGTGTCCGAAACTTGTTACCGCCTGATCCATCGTGGTCCCCCTCTCACAGCAGCCAGTCCTCCACAAACCTTCTCCAACATGAGTTCCTCCCATGGGCCGCAGCGTTCCCCACACTGCTCCGTCATGGGTCACTAACTTTTCTCCGACTGGATTCCCTCCCACGGCTGCAGCCCTTCCCGAGCTGCTCCGGCGTGGGACTCCCCCGCGTGCTGCAATCCTCCCAGCGCTGAATTACAGCAGCGGGGCTGCCTTTTCCCACGAGACCCCCGTGCTGCTTCGGGCACAGAACCTTGATCAGCCGAGCAGGAACAACAGGCCATAAATCAATGTCTGCTCCACTGCAGATCTTCATGGGTGGCAGGGGGGGCCGCCCTGCCGTCTCCCCACAGGATACAGGGGGGTCTCTGCTCCGGCACACCTCCCCCCTCCTTTCTTCCTCCGTTCCTCCACTGACCTTGGTGTTCATGCAGCTGCAGCAACTCCTCCTCACAAGTCCGACTGCCCGTCACCACGTCCCTTCTTAAATACGTTATCGCAGAGGCGCAGCCGATTGGCTCAATTTCCCAAACAGAAGTGGAGCTGACGTGGAGCTGGGGGAGCTTTGAGAAGCTTCTCACAGGGGGCCGCCCCTATAGCCCCCTCCCCTGCCACCAAAAAACTCCACCACTCACTCAACCCAGGACACAACCTTTTAACCATTAAAAATGCTAAATGCTATGCTCAAACATGGCCTCCTGTTGTAGCTTCTTTTATTCTACTGCGTTATGCCTTTGACTGGATACTCCAAACTGATAAAGTATATGTGCCCTTGTACTGAGTGATCTCAGTCTTCATTATCAAAAGTGCTGTGTAGGTAAAGGAGCTGTAGGTAAAAGTAGATTTGTACAGTGCCTTGAAAAGTGCAGATGACTTCTGTTTGCAGAACCAAATGCAAGCAATTTTAAAATGAGGATTCATTTATGAGCAAAAGCTAGTAATCTGGAGTGAGAGGTGAAGTGCAGAAGACTGTAGTTCACTACATGTAGCAGTGACAATTATAAGTCTGTTGTAGGTGAAGAGCTTAAAGGTAAAAAATGATAGCTCTGTTACAGTTTGAATTTTCCTTAATAGCCAGATTGTTTGATTGTGTTACTGGTTCTTAATGGTCAGATTTGTGTAAACCAGGGGGAGAATACTACTGTGTTCCTGAATCCAGGCTGGGATATCAGGTGTGCTGGAATTTGCCTTTGAATGCCTCTTTTTAACTTGTTGCAGCTACTCCATCAGTTCCAGCACCTAAGACAGAGCCTTCTCCCTCACTGCCTTCTGCTGGTTCTCTGCCTAGCGTGGCATCCACTACTGCTTCGCTTCTCCCTTCAGCATCACAGCACACAGCAACGTTGCCCAGCTTGCCTCAGTCCAGTGATTTGGCCAGCAGCTCACTTTCCCAGTTAAGCAGGTACAGTAGGAGTTGTACTGAAAGCGGTTCAGTTTTGGGGAGAGGGCAAACAGGAGGGTGATTGTGTATGGGGCTGTCAGACACCAGGGTCCCCTTTTCTGACATTAACTAGAATTAGGAGAAAGATTCAGAAGAGACTAGGCTGTTTCTGACAGCGAAGTATGAGCTATGGGCTGCCTCTTAATGATAGAGCAGCTGCTGCCCTCAAGTTTTCATGGTATATGAACAACTTTGTGTTTCAATGTGCTCATAATTGAGTCATGTCAGCTGAATTCATTCCCCCAATTTGTTTTTTCTACTATGTCCACAGTGCCTGCTGTTTGTTTAGTGTCATATGTTTCAAATCATTGTTTAACAGTTTTACTTCCTGGCTAATTTTGAAATATTGTAGTTTCACTTACATTTGAATTTCTTAAAATTAAAAACCAGAAATAATTCCACAGGGGAAGTGTGTGGTTTTTATATGCTTCCTTAAGACACTTTGAAATACCAGATCAGTGTTCCTGGAAATACATTCAGCACAGCTTAGCTCACTTACACTGTCTGATTTTCTCAGTGTTGCTTAACTTGAGCTTCATCCTCAGGCAGGTGACATCCTGAAGGAATACTGGTTGGGTTATACTTTTTATAATTACCTTGGTATTATATTTGCTAATGTAAGAAACTAATCTGATGGGTTACCATTTTTTTTTTCCTTGCTTCACAGCTAGGACACGGTTGCTTCTCTAGTAATACATTAGTGTTTTATGTTGAATAAAATGGCAAATATGCCAAATAACAAGAGTTATTCCATTCACGTTAGAAACATCATCTCCCCACATTTGTTTGCAGAAAATCTGTGTACATTGGTGGAAATTTTAGTTGGAGGTTTGATGCTGTTGGGCAGGTACCAAATGCTGTGAAAAGATGATTTGTGACTTCCAAGCATGTCTGACTTGATTGTGCTAGCAGCTTTTGTTGGTCAGATGGTGAATTAAGGCTTATTAGAAGATGTGGGAGAGTGAGCGAAGGAGTGGTTTAAAACTGTATGTTGGGCTGAACTATTTTTCCTTGCTGCCTGAAGTGGTGTCATTGTAATTCCTGCAGATGCGGAACAGTTTTAAGGAACTGAAGTAAAAATAATCTATGAAACTGCTGAGATTTATTCTGGTCCCACACCTCAAAGTGCTGCCAGAAGTGTTTGCCCTTAGGGCTTATAATTTAGCCTGCAGCTTTGTTATGAAAACTGCTGTATTTTCTTGTGCCTATTTCCATAGAGAACACTAAAATATTTGTTATGGTCAGAATCTCTCTTGCTTCCAGTTTCACATGAGGGGAGGGGCTTTTTGAGAACCAAACCATACATGTTTTTATGGCTTTATTTTGTTTGCCTTTGTTCAGTGTTCATTATGTTTATTGCATACCGTATGGTAAGTTATGTTCTTGACCTCAGATGTAAGGTATAACTTTTGTCAGTGTAAATGTTTGAGAACCAGTTTCGGTCACCTTTCGGGGAGACATTTAAATGTCTTTGGGTTATAGATGACTGTTGGTGCCACTGTTACTGCCAAAAGTTTACAGGCCTGGTCAGCTATGAAAAAAAGGTGGTGCCAAAGGAGAGTTGCTTTCTAAAATGACATTACCTGCAGATGTTTTTCATCAGGGGGTTCTTTGTTTTCGTATTTTACAGTGTGTGTATAAAACTGAACTGATAGTTCTGATTCATCCGATTCATCTTTTCAAAGAGGGAATGGGTTTTGGAGGAGTGTAGTGGTATGAAACAGCCTTGATTAAAGCACCAGATTCTGTAGAAGTATGGCTAATTTTGAGGCTTTCACGGATGTTCTTCTTTTGTCCTTTTTTTTGAGCTCTGTCTTTTGAGGGTGTATTGGGGCTTTTGGCAGAGTTATGGGGCAAGTACCCTGCAGTTCTAATTGGTTGAACTAATGTCATGTAGATAAAAATGCGAGAAATACCATAGTGAGTCAAACCAAAGCACTGCCTCACCTAATAAATTAATACTGGTGCCCTGTGGCAGGCAGAAGCAGTTGCTAAGAGAAAGAATGAGAAACAAGCCATGTGTTATGTGAACCTTCTTCTGGTTTTGAACTTATGTCTCTTGGAGTCAATGCTACATAATTCCTGAAGCAACTATTGTTTTTCTGAAAATAAATTGATAAATACAAATGAATGGTGTTTTAGATGTTTTTTGTTAGTAATAGCTGTCTTTGTACTTCAATTTTTTCCATTAAAAGTTAGCAGGATATTAGTTAGTGGAAAAAAGGCCCCTAGGGGTGTTTGTATATGTCTGTGTGTATGTTTATACACACACAACCCTACAGACAATTTTTTCTTTAATATCCTACTGTGTGTATATGTGTAATTTTTATTATTTAATATCCTACTGTCTGCTCTGTGATTGTATATTTATATACGTGCATATAAACATACATCTAGATATTAAAAACAGTTATAGGAAAAAACAGTTTTATTAATTCTTTGTGATTTCTTTCTAGCTCCCTTTCCAATCATCAGAGCAGCCTCTCTCCTGCCTCAGTGTTGTCTTCAAGCACTTCATATGCAGTAAGTCCTATTTGCATTTCAACAGGTGTTTGATTTACAGTCATTTTATCTGATGATTAAGACCCTCTCCTAAAGGTCGTTGTGTCCTGGTACACTAAGAACTGAAACAAGAGCCTTATCGTGAGGAAGAAGGACTGCCAGCCCTCTAGTGGTAAAAATAGTCTTTACCACTTGTGATTTGTACTAGATCAGGAATAGCTATTGCAGAGGCTTGCCAGTCACACAAATAAATGCAGAGGAAGTTTTTGTGTCAGCAAGGGGGGATTGAATTAAGAAATATTTAATTGTAACAAATGTACTACAAATAATAAAAAAATATTTAGAAGCGGCTGTCTTAAAGTGCTCCAAACTGTGGACTGTTAGCAGTCTCCACTGGAGATGTTAGCTGGCGAAATGCAGGTGATGGAATGACACAGGTCATGACAAATGCCTCATGACTGATTTTAGAGTTTACAATGTGGCATTGTTGTCATCTGTGTATTTAATGCGTTTGAGATAACGCGAATGGTAGTGAACATGGTGCTCTAGATGAGGTTGCACAAATGAAAGTCAGAGAGACATTGCCTTGTTCTGTGATGGGGTACTTCTGTACAATCCCAGCTGGAGTGTGTAGATAAGTTACTACTGTTCTTTTTGCCTGTATTTTGGTTTTTTAATGCTCCATCCCTACTGAATATGTAACTTAGACATTCACACTTGTCCAGAATCCTTCTTTTCTGTTGTCAGAGTTGTTTTGGCTTTTGTGTGTTGATGACACTATTTTACAAGTGTGATCAGCTTACAGTTAAAGGCATTGTATTATGCTGGATTCAAACCAGGAACCGCTTTATGCTTATGTGTTCCTGTAACACATCTGGTCTGCGTATCAGTTTACTACATTGACTCTGTTGTGGGGCATATTGACTCTGCTGTGTTTTAATCTCTTAAATTCCACTAGTGTATTGAGGAAATCACTGCAGCAGTGTCCTGTTTTTGAAAACAAGTACTGTCTTTTGGAAAAATACAGGAGTATATTTAACGTAATGAGTACTAGCTTAAAGGAGTATACAAGCAAAGGGCAAGAAATAATGCAATGGAGTGGCATTTGAGTTTCTGTGGTATCACTTTATGATGATATAGCTGTTTAAATTTAACTGTCATGTAATCATTTTCTCTGAAAACTTAAAGATCACAAGCATGCTACTTATTTGCTTGCTTGGTGTATAGATAATGCATATTTTTTGCATGTGCTGCTGTTACTTAAAAGATTGTTGAGGGATTTTTGATATTTTTTTTTTCCCCTCAGCATCTTCCACTGTGGTTTATTTGCTTTGTGATCTTCATTCTTTTTGTCTTCTTTCTAGCACACTAGTGTTGAGAACACAACTTCGCTTCAGCCCTCAACAACCTTTTCAACTGCTTCAACCTCAGCCACTAGCACCACCTCTTCGGTTGTCAGCATGGCAAGCAGTATGAACACTACAGACAGCCTTGGCCTGAGCGTTGCCAGTGTGTCTATACCAGCTGCTACCACACGGGCAGCTCCCTTAGTGTCTTCAGGTTCGCAATATTAACAGATAATGTGGATAGACAGAGGACTTCAGTCAGCGGGGCTGTCAGTTGAGCATCTCACCAGCCACAACTATGCTTGACTGGCATTTTCAGCATGCTTTCTTTGCTGTCTTATAAAATAAAGTTGCTGGTTTTGTATATTTGAAATATTTGTTAGGGTGTTGTGTGGCATTTATATAGCACACTACGTCCCCAAAGAGCTTTATAAATAGACACCAGGGAAGTTTTGGAAGTTTTGGACTAGGAGATTCACCCAGTTTGCATTCCAGGTTGTGATTGGCTCTTGGCTGTGAGTTCACATTAGCTCTAATGTCAGTCTTTTCTGTGACTTCAATTCATTTGACAGTATCAAAATATACTGCAGTGTCCTCATTATTATATGCCACATCCCTACTGCCACATCTAGAGAAAGGAAAAAAGGTGTCTGATGTCTGGGTCATTCCATAGCAAATAGCACTTCAGAAAAAGGGTCCACAGAGAGAGAAGGTGGGGAGGCTTCTCACACTGCAGTGGGAGCAGTGTGAAATTCTCTATTGCTTCTCTAATCAACCTGAACTGCAAAAAGGAAATCCTGTGGAGGGTACTGAATGATTTAAATATTAAGATCAAACTCTTATAGAAGGATTTCTCATTTCTTATTCCCGTACCTTGTAAATGAAGTGTCTGATGACTGGCCAAAGCACATTTTTTCCACTTTTGTGCTTCCTAGCACTGCTTCATGGAGGCAACTGAAACTTTTAATCTTCTCTTTGCTATTCTCAGCTGCAATAAGTCACTCACAAAAAGTATGCTGGCAACATTCAGTGCTTTCAAGTCTACTGCTGGCGATAATGGGGAATGTGTTGACAGAGCAGAAAATGAAAGGAGAGCATTTGCTCCCTTAGATGGAAAACAATGCCTGAATTTTGCCTTCAGGGGAGGACTGAGGAAAGAAGTTTCTGTAATTCTTGTAATCCTCTTGGTCAAAGTAAATGACAAAATCAGACTGATCTCCGATGGGACTGTTCTCAGCCTTAAATAGTCTGTGATTCCCCTTTCTTGACACACGGTTAAACCCTTGGTCTATTTTGAGCATTTTGATCAGCCAGCACAAAATTCTTCAGCGTAGTTCTGCTCTTCACAAGATATTTGCAGCCACCAGGGCTTGTGAGCTGTCTTGTCTCAATGCTGAAGCCCTTTCTTTTCTAAAGGCTTGTTAAAGTGTCTGTATTTTGACTTTACAGGCAAAGCTCCCCCAAACCTGCCCCAAGGTGTACCGCCCTTGTTGCATAACCAGTATATTGTGGGACCTGGAGGACTTCTGCCTGCCTACCCAGTAAGCAATTTAATTGTTTCTGTACTTGATTGCTTAACCCTTGGTGCAAGTGGGCCCTCCAGACCTGCTGCTGTCTATGCCAAGGCATCTCAGTTGGCACATGTTGCAACCGGAATTTTTGTTCCAAATGCTGCTGAATATATTAAATATATTCAGTGGGGGTTTAGTGTTGATAGTATACTGCAGAACTGTTGGTACAGACCTAATGTGGCTGCTGTTGAAGCTAAATATGCTTGTTACTATGGTTTTCAGTGGTATCAGGTTTTAGGCCCTTTGAGAAAAACTAGTCTCACTCAGGTTTGTTACTGGAGTAGATTTATTATAGCAATGGTTGAAATGTGGTATGTGTTCGTCTGTCACACTTTGAAAGACTACACATGGCTTTTTGATGTCTGAGCAGGATCAACATATTTTTGGTTATCTGTTTTTTGAATCAGAAACTTTAATCATATTTCTGTATCACACTAAATGTGAGGGGATATGGTAGGTTGCTTTGTGGTCCTAGTCATCAGACTTTCAGTACTGTTACTCTCAGAAGTAATGATTGCAGCAAAAGTGGTGGCTGCTCTTACTCCCAAATCTGAATGCCCTATAGATTTTTCACAAGTTGATGAATGTTGCACCTATGAAAAGAGTATTGAAGATGGGACAGTCAAACTCTCCTCAGAGGGCTGCTGTCACCAAGAAACACCGTCAGTGACAAGCTATTTTAAGCTTAGCCCTGCCAGCCTTAAAATGCTACAGTGCACCACGATGGCACAATGCAACATGTATCTGTATACCTTGAAAATACAGTGGGCCTAGGTCAAACTCTGTTTAAAGCCTGAAATTGGTCAGCGTCAGAGAAAAGTATTATAATGATGTTGTATTTTAATCTGTCTTTAAGCAGATTTATGGTTATGATGATCTCCAGATGCTTCAATCTAGGCTACCGATGGTAAGTAAATGACTTTGTTTGTTTAATTTTAAACAAGTTCATTTAATAGTGATTAAAAGCTTATCCTTATGTTCTGTATTCTGTCTGTTTAAACATCCATAAACAGTTTCTCTAGGTGGTGTAAATCGATGTAGAGGAACTGTTACGTTGTGCATTTGCCCATCTGCAAATTCTGTAAATACCAGCAAGTGTACTCTGTGCTTTTGAGTGGACAAGTTTTTACGTGTAGTAGCAACACTATGACATCTTGTCAAATCTAGGTGAAATCTGAGCGTGAATGCTTTCTTTTACCAAGAGGGAGGGTTGAACAGCAAGTTCACACACAGGCAGCCAGTAGGTGCATCTGAAAGGTTTTGGAGGTGGTCATAGCTAGAGATGTTTGCATATGCATCATGGCAACAAATGCAGGTGAGCTGCAGGAGGGAGAGTTCATTAAATTTTCTTCCTTCCCTGGATCCAGAATGTAAATGATGCGTGGTAGACACTGAGCTTTCCGACAGATTCACAAAGAGCCTCGGCTAAGATTGCAGAAGGGTAAAGAATTTTGTTTTCAGAAATCCGGGATAAGGACTTATGAGAGAAAGTTTGGTAGTATGTAACTGAGAAAAGTCATAGAATGAAGTGATGCACTGTATCGGTAGAGACAGAGCAGTGAGCAGTTATCTGGAAAAGAAGTATCACTGGATGAATGCCATAATTAAAGGAGGAAGTCAGTATCAGGTTTTCCGTATGGAGTCTGGGGGCAGCCAGAGTCAGATACTCAAAGGTGAGTACAGGGATGTCCCAGACAAAACCCTGACCAGCTGCACATCCTGGATTAAAAAAAAAAAAAAAGTTGAGTGTATTAATGACAATTTTAACTACCTGATAAAGGCCTGATCCTTGCAATAATTGCCAACTGAAATGAGTGAGATAATTTCCAGATCAGCAAAATGACAAAATATTTGCAGTTCTGGGACCAGAAGAGATGTGGTGTAGTGGGTAGACCCTGGCTGGATGCCAGGTGCCTGCCAAGTTGTTCTGCACTCCACCTCCTCAGCTGGACAAGGGAAAGAAAAAAATAGAGTGAAAGGCTTGTAGGTCAAGAAAAAGACAGGGGGAGATCATTTACCAATTACAGTCATGTAAAAAAAAAAAAAAGACCTGAGGAAACTAATACAATTTATTACCAACCAAATCGGAGTAGGATAATGAGAAATAAAAATAAATTTTAAAAACACTTGACAGCCCCTGCCCTTGAGTCTTCCTGGATTCAGTTTCACTCCTCATTTTCGTACCTCCTCCTCGCCAGCAGTGCAGGGGGATGGTGAATGGCAGCTGTGGTCAGTTCATCACACATTGTCTCTGCCACTCCTTCCTCCTCAGCGGGAGGACTCATCTCCCTCTTCCCCTGCTCCAGCACAGGGTCCCTCCCACAGCAGACAGTCCTCCACGAACTTCTCCAGTGTGGGTCCTTTCCACAGTCTGCAGCTCTTCACGAACTGCTCCAGCCTGGGTCCCTCCCACAGGGTGCAGCCCTACAGGAGCACACTGCTCCAGCCTGGGACCCTCACGGGGTCACAGCTCCTGCCAGCAAACCCGCTCCAGCATGAGCTTCTCTCTCCATGGGGCCACCGGTCCTGCCAGGAGCCTGTTCCAGCGTGGGCTTCCCAGAGGCTCACAGTCTCCTTTGCTCATCCACCTACCCTGGCATGGGGTCCTCTCTGCACTGCAGGTGGACATCTGCTCCACCATGGACCTCTGTGGGCTGCAGGGCACGGCCTGCCTCACCATGGGCTTCATGGTGCTCGCTATGGGCTTCATGTAGCGGGGCAGGTCCCCATGGCCACTGGTGTGTGAGCACAGGCAGGAGCATCCTGGGCCAGTTGTGGTGGCTGTAGGCGAGCAAGGAGCAGTCTTGGGCATCTGCTGTGTTTTCAGAGGCTTTCTGGTGTTTCTTGGGTGGGGTGGGTAGCCCTGGACTGCTGTTGCTTGTCCAAATCTCTGCATGCCTTGGTGCGTCCGCTCCTTGCCCCTTTGAGTTGCATGCACCTTGTTTACGCCACCCTGCGTGGTCCCAGGCGGTGCTGCGGCACTGCTGAATGCTTGTTTGTGAGGAGGTGGTGGTTTGGAGGTGGCTTTCATGTCTTGTCAGTGGGAGGGGGTTGGGAAGGGAGAGAGTGGGTGGTGGGAGAGAAGTGCACGGGGCAGGCATCGTGTCCTCTGGGCACGTGTGCTCTGGAGGTCTGGCATCAGCAGGAGATGCCCGTGGGCTTGAAGGACCATTGTGGGTCCCCAGAGGGACCCGCTGTCCGGAGCCTTCGACTGGGACGTGGGGCACTGGTGGAACGGGCTGCAGGAGGGAGGCTCACCCCTGCCTGCCTGCAGAGACCCTGGTTTTGCCTGTCAGGTACACGCATGGTGAACACCTCTTTTCTTTTTCCTTTGTTTTTGCCTTTGCGAAAAGTCTTTCTTTCCAACAAGTGAATGAATAAATAAAGATGCAAATTTTTAAATTAATGGCTGGCTAAATAAATGAATAAATGAACGCACAAGCAAACAACTAAATAGAGTTTTGTGATCAATAGTCATTGGCGTAAGAGTCCCGCAGTGTCCATGGGGGCCTTCCCCTCCACCGGGGGAGGTCACAGGCTGGACGGGCTAGATCACACGGTGGGTAAGAAATACCAGCCCTCTCCCCAGACCCTCGCAGCTGTCGGTAAGCATGCAGCACCGCAGTTTCCTCCTCCTCCCTTTCCAGCGAGGCTGTGGCCCTGATGCAGGGGTGCGGGCCCTTGCCGCGGTCATGCCCGTTTCCCCGTCGGTGCGGGCTGCTGGCTGGCAGAGGTGTGAGCAGTGCTGAGCAATCCCAGCCCGGGCTGCTGCCGCCTCTGCTCGATACGCGGCTGCCAGCGCTGGGTGGGGCTGGACCTCTGGTGCAGGTGGGCTGGGTGGGGGGCAGGAGCGTCTTGGCTCGTCATTTGCCGGATCAGTGTGCCCACCTGTAGAAACCAGGCGCGAGCCTGGAGGCAGACGCGGTCCCAGGCGCAGGCGCTGTGGTTGTGGGTGCGGAGGAAGTGTTGGATGTCGCTGAAGTGTTTGCTGATGGTGAGCGGCAGGTTGCGGGGCCCTTGTGCTTGGGCGAGCGTGGCGCTGCCTGTGAGGCATTGCTCCAGGCGGTGGATGTGGTGCTGGAGGTTGTTGAGGAGGCGGTGGCGTGCGTCGTCGTCCCAGTGTTGGGGGGTGCTGGGGCTGCTGAGGGTGTGGAAGAGGTGCTGGAGGATGCGTAGGGCGGTGTCGGCGGCTTGCTGTGGGCGGTGGGTGTGGAGGAGGGTGTCGGGGAAGGCGGGCGGGTGCGGGTGGTGGCAGGGCTGTGGCGGGCTGGGAGCCACGGCCTGGAGGAGCTGGAGGCTGTCCCAGGGGAAGGTGGCGTGGCGGGGCCGCAGGCGAGGGCGGTGGCGAGAGGCGGCCGGAGGAGCAGGAGCGCCGGGGCGGCAGGGCGCAGGCGGGGCTGTGGGGCTGCGGGCGCAGGCATGGTGGGGCTGTGGGTGCCGCGTGGGGGGGTGCTGGGCAGGGGGAGGGTGCGGCGTGGTGGCGGTGCGGGTGGGCGCTGTGCTTGGAGTGCTGCCGGCCGGGCGGCTTTATGTGGTGCCGCGGGCGGCTTTGCCTTCCGGGCTTTGTGGTGGCAGCGAGTTTCCGGCTGTGGCTTTCGGTTTTGGCTGTTGGCTGCGGTGGTCTTGGGGAAGTGCGTTGTTGGAGTGGGAGATGCGAAAGCGGCGGGACAGAGCCCTCGGCGGGAGGTGTGTGAGGGTTTCCCTGTGGGCGGCAGGCAGGGCGAGCTGTGGTGGCTGTCTGGTGCAGCTGAAGTTTCCCTTCCTGCCTGCGTGTGTTTCGGGGCTGCGCTGCCCTGGCGTTGGCTGTGGTGTGTTTTCCTTTGGCTTGTGGCTGGCCTGGGTTGTCATCGTAGCTGGTCTTTCCTTTTCGCGTTGGGCAGGGTGGTGAAGTGATGTCAGTGGGGCGAGCGTGGGGAGCCCCCGGTGCAGCAGCGAGGGCCTGGGGGTGGCTGTGGGGGTGGGCACGTGAGTCCTGGGTGTGCTCGTGGCTGGAGCTGCCCTGGCTCCTGTGTTGGAAGCGGATGGGAGCGGGGAGGACAGGCGGGAGGGAGGGAATGGGGAGGAAGGAAGCGGAAGAAGTTTGGCTGCTGGTGGTGCTGCTGGGGCGCGGGGTCCCCAGCTGCGGTGCCGTGCGCGTGGTCCCGGAGCCGGGGCCTCCTTGTGTTTTGTCTGCCTCCTTGCCTCCTGAGGCGGCTGGAGAAGCAAGGAAGGAGGGATTGGCTGTGAGCTGGGGGATTGTAGAGCCCCGGAGGCAGGAGGAGGAGGAACGGGAGGTTGCCACGTCTGAGCGTCGTGGTTTGAGCCTCATCGGCAGCCTAACACTCCTCAGCCACTCTCTGCCCTTCATTCTGGCAATGAGAAGGGACAGATGAGCCAGGCTTGGGGTTGGAGATAGGACCGGGAGGGGCTAGATCACCCACTGTGGTCACGAGCAAAAGGCAGGCTTGTTAGGGGAAGGGAAAAAAACCATCCATTTATTAGAGACACTGACAACCCTTAACAGAGTACGGCACTGAGGCCCTCTATCCTTTGTGTCATGCCAAGTTCAGCTCCGGACATGCCTTGGTCTTCCTGACCCCATCCCTCCACAACCAGGCAATGTCCTTGTACTATTCCCAGGATACCTGTCTCTGCTTCCACTGCCTGTGCATTTCCATTTTGCCCTTTATTTTGACCAACAAGTCTTGACTCAGCCATCTGGAATCTCCTCCCAGTAAAGAGTCTGGAACACTGAAAATACACCATAGCCCCCATGCCAGTTAGAGCCATCCAACATAAGACTCAGAGGATGTATGACAGCAGGACCTTAACACCAGGGAAAGGTATAGACACAAGGAAGCACTGTCTGATTTGTTATTGAAATTTTTCTCACTAACAGTTTTCTTTCTTTTTCTCGTTCTTTTTCTCGTTCTTTTTCTCGTTCTTTTTCTCGTTCTTTTTCTCGTTCTTTTTCTCGTTCTTTTTCTCGTTCTTTTTCTCGTTCTTTTTCTCGTTCTCTTTCTCTCTTTCTCTCTTTCTCTCTTTCTCTCTTTCTCTCTTTCTCTCTTTCTCTCTTTCTCTCTTTCTCTCTTTCTCTCTTTCTCTCTTTCTCTCTTTCTCTCTTTCCCTCTCTCTCTTTCCCTCCCTCCCTCCCTCCCTCCCTTCCTCCCTCCCTCCCTCGCTAGGCCAATATTTATTCATTGAATAAGATTATAATTAGGCTAACAGTAAATTCATGGCTTTGCCCATAAAGTGGATTTTTTTTTTTTTGGCTCAGAAGCTACACAAACAGTAATGTGAAAAATTGGTGGAGAACACGGGTAGCCTATGCTACAGTGTCAATGAAACAATTCTGCTTTTAACCTCAAGAGTGTTCCATCATTTGATAATATTTCAGATTTTGTTTGCAAACACCCAAAGACAAAAAATTGTCTCTTCTGTTTCAATGTTTTGGGGTGTTTTTTTTTTTTTTTGTAGGAGGCAGAATATGGTATCCAGACAGTAGCAATGTAATTCCTGCAAGAACAGGAAAAATAAAGCAGCAGTGCTAACCTTCTTCAAGTCTAGTGCTTTGCCATTATTACAGAACTTCAGGATTTAGAAGTTCGAGGCACTATAGTCACTTGCTCTCTCTACTTCATCCCTACAAGGAAAATATTTTAAATGATAGGTTCGTTAAGTCAATACATCATACCCTTGATGTATTTGGGGATGAAGATACAATTTTGTTATTATTTCACAAGAATCTGTGAAATTTTACATTTTAGGGCTTTTAGTTTTATCCTATTTAGAAAAAAAAATCAATAGTATCCAGGATACTAAATAATTTAGGTTAAACTAAAGTTTCATGTTTAAATGTATCATTCCTGTGAAATTAATGTAGAGATCAGTTATCAAAATGGTGTATATATATAGACATTTAGAAATATCAAGGAAGCTATGAAAATTCCTATGGGTGAAGGTACAGACTTGTGTTCAGATTGTGAAATAAATTTACCTGTCCCTAAGGATAGGTAGACCAGGTAGACCAAACTTACACACCTATTCTTCCAAAGACCAAAACTGAGGTGACTTTGTTATTTGTGAACAAAGCCTCATTGCCTTAAAGAAATACATGCAAAAGGCAAAGTTTCTGTGGTGGTAGAAAAAAAATGAATGGCAGCAGTCATTGCTAACATGAGAAACAAGTTAAATCAACAATGCACATCAAAGCTGCTTAGTTTTGCTCCAACAACCATGACCTTGCAAGTGTTCATTTACCCAACAAACATAGGTATGCCCTTTTAAGTGAAGTCAATTATATAAATGTACCGTATGACTCCATCGGCATTAGGCATTTGGACCATGCTGCTACACATTATTAGTGGTGTATTTCTCCCTGCAGTGTGATGGAGTGCAATTACTGTCACATGCAATGAAACAGAAATTTATTCTGTTTATAGAAACATTCTGTCAGACAGCTAAAACTTTGTTAAAGCAAACATAAACAATAATATTTTACATAAATGCATTTTCATGTTAAAAATATCTTTAATTGTTTGTTTGTTTGTTTGTTTGTTTGTTTTTATTGAAATATCTGAATTTTAAGGTGGAGACCACCCCTTACCTCCTCTCTTGTTTAACTTGGCATACCCTGGCACATAACTGCTTGTCGTAGCTGATGAACTGCTGAAGGAGGAGTGGGGTAGTGCTGAGACCAGAGGTTCATCACACTTTTCTGAAACACAAAAAACCAAGTTCACTTTAAGCTACTTATTATTCACACATATTAAGTGGCGATATACATTTTATTTTTCTTTTGGATAATAACAGATCCTTATTATTTTTGTACACATAGAATGCATACATCCTAACATTTCAGCAAAAAACCCCAACAAAATAACAAAAACCAAAAAGAAAACCTACAAACAAACAAAGTCACACACCTCAATATGAGAAAATAAAGACTACGACAAAGGACAAAAGTAGATAATGGTAACGCCTAACCATGGGCCACCAGTCTCCTCAGGGTTACTACAAATAAACAAAAAAGCCTGCTCTGACATATCTGGAATGTTTTTGGTGACGTGAAAATGTAGTGATAAAAAGTATTATCGTGAAAGCTTCCTAAGTAGTAGATAAGATATAACCTTTCAGCTCTCTAATAGAAGTGCTGATAGCCTGATAATTAAAAATAGAAAATAAATTAGGGTACATTAATAAATGCCTATGAATTATCACATAACAGATTTATTGAAAAAAAAAGCTTAACAAAATAACCTTTTTTTCATATAATCTCTATAATCCATTTGAGCACTTCACTTCTATTTTACTCACTATAAAGAGTATTAATTTGGTATTAGCATCTAAGATGGAAAAAAAAAATCAGAATCTTTGCCTTTTTTGATCAAGAACAAAGTTTAAAACAAAACTGCTGGTATATGAAGTTATGTAAATTAGAATGAAGAGCTTTTGATTTTTCAAATATGTGGGTAATGTACTGCACTTTGTTCTAGTTTTTCCTCAGTTATTTCAACATATGGGTGAAATATTTAGGTTAAATTAATCATTTAGAATAATAGAATAGAATCATAGATTGGTTTGGGTGGGAAGGGACCTTAAAGCCCCCCCAGTGCCACCCCCTGCCCCGGGCAGGGCCCCCTTCCCCCAGCCCAGGGGGCTCCCAGCCCCGTCCAACCTGGCCTTGAACCCTCCCAGGGAGGAGGCACCCACAGCTGCTCTGGGCACCCTGGGCCAGCGCCTCACCCCCCGCACAGGGAACAATTTCTGCCTTAGATCTAGGCTAAACCTGCCCTCTGACAGTTTAAAACTACCCCTTGTCCAATCTCTACATCCCCTGGTAAAGAGTCCCCCCCACCTTTCCTGTACCCCCCTTCAAGTACTGGAAGGCCGCTATAAGGTCTTCCTGAGCCTTCTTTCCTCCAGGCTGAACACTCCCAACTTTTTCAGCCAGTCCTTATGTAGTTCTTATTTTGACAGAGTGAATGTAAAAGAGATAGTTTGCATCAGCCTGGATGGAGCTGTATGGGCTTGTCCATTCATGGGACTTGCCAGAAGTTTAGTTTGGGTGTGAATCTCAAAGTAAGGAGGTGCTCAGTCTGCATTAACATTGGTCAGATAGGGACAGTGGGGAGCTAGTGTGCAGTACTTAGCACACTGTATATAGTCCCCTCAAATACTCTCCTTATGTCGGCAATACCTTTGAGCACACTGAGAATAGCTGTATGCAAAATAACTCATACTTTGATTAAAACTCTCTTAAAGTTATTATAGTGTTGCTAGTGGTTTGTAAATTCACTGCCCAGGTTACCGAATGCTGTCTTTTCTAAGCAGGTAAGCACTTAAGAATAATGGATAGAGTATCATAAAAGAACAGTAACAACCATGAGGAAAAGAATAGTATCATCCACTTAGCTTTTGTCTGTCTATAAGAGAGCTCTTGCTGAATAAGAGTTTATAAATAATTAAAACATGGCTGCCTTTAAATCACTAAATAAACAACAGATCCCTTTCTGTAAACACCTGTTTTAGATAAATACACATTCTACAGTCCAGTACAGTTTATTTGCTGAAACTATGCCACATAATACATAGTAGCTCAAATTTAGGTAATGTGAAGTCAGGGAAAAATAAGTGTTGTTAACCTATTAAATAATTACTTTTTCATTTTAAAAATGTGGAAAGTGGGGTATTCAGGATTGAAAAAATAGACCTCTAGTTGTTCATTTATTAATGAAACCTTAAAAACATGTTTGCTTTGGACATATCATTCTTTGTGTGTCACACAGTATAAACAAGAGTATTTCTGGAATGATTCAGAAAGACTACAATTAATTGATGTTTTGCTTTGGTTGTTTTGGGTTTTGGGGGTTTTATTTTAGTTTCGGGTTTGGTTTTTTGTTTGCTTGTTTGTTTTGGTTTTTGTTTTTGTTTTTGTTTTTTTTTTTTTAATTATTATTATTTATTTATTTCTAGAGCTCCTGTAAGATCTCCTTTACCTGTGAGTCTAAATGAAAATATTTCTGTTTTATTAGTAACATGGCCTTTTGTTATTATTCTTAGTAAATTTTTTGTGTAGCACTAACTTCAACCCCTGTTTATTTTCTTCTTTTAAAATCCATAAATAATTCAGGTTCAGCTCATCATTTCAAATTCTTTTAGAACTAGAAAGAAAAGTCATGTAAGAAAGGCATTTGTCCCCTCACGGCTATTATTTCATGGTTAAACGTTATTGCTGAATTCATATAATTTTCGGTATGTCTTCATCTGCCTCATATCCTACCACATATCAATTTTGCTTATTCCTTACCTTCAAAATAAATAGCTGGGCACTTGGCTTTGATATGTAATGCAACTCACTTCAGCTCTATGTGTGCTTGTATCTCTGTTTTGAAGACAGATGTGATTGCCACTCAGCTGACCGCAGCACTTTCTTTTCTGTGCTTCAGTGATCTGGCCCTAATGAAACATTTTTCATAAATATCTATATTTTGTAGAAGGAATTCTTAAAAATACAAATAAAAATGTTTGCAGTAGTTCATTCCTCTGAAACCACAGGCTCTTTAAGTCTCTGGAGCAATATATGGGGCAGTAGGAAAAAACATGCATTGCAAGAACATAGCAGATTTTGTGACGGTGCAGGAAAAAGAAACATCATAAAGGGGAAAAAAATTACCAGTGTACATCCAGATCAGACTGATGTGTTGAAAAAATAACATTAAAAGAAGAAGACATCACACTTTTCATTCAAAACACAATCCAAGAAACAAAGTCTGTGGAAGGTGAAGCTCAAATAACTGGATAAAAATAAAGCATCATTAGTTTATGTTAATTTTCCGTAGCCCAACAAATACAGAAAGCATGACCATTTTTTCCAGTTCATAACTAATTTGTTAATTGAAGTGTTCAGAATACCTAATTGGCTTATTTAATACATGTTGAGATTGGGAGGAGGGAAAAAATAATGCTGAGTTCTCTCTTAAACTTTGTGTGTGAAACTTTTTCTACAGTAATTAATTGCAGAGGTAGCAGTTCCAAGTGCAGCTGGAGACATAAGGAAGATGGGCAGCTGCCTAGAGCCACAGATGGATGGGGACAGCAGATCTGCCCCAGCTATGCTGAGCAGATAGCTTTTTCAGGCAAAACTCAACATAGTTCATGAATTCTTTCCGAAGCTAACGAACAGCTGACACTGGCAGGAAAGGGGCTGTGCTGGTGGCAGAGTAGGCAGCCTCACAGCTGGCCAGAATGGATCCATATATCACAGATACACTTTTTCCATATCCTTAGGGACCAGTGCATCTCTTGCCATTTGTCTGCAGAGTAGACAAATTCAGTGCTCTTGACTATCTAAAAAGCCCAGAGTTTAATCTGAAGGTTTCTCAAGCATCCCTGGGACAATAACCTATAGATAGTTAAGAAATTTGTTTAGGTGTTACTGGCTTCATCTCTGTGCTATCCTGAAAAGACAGACCTGATTATCTCTCCATCTCCACTCAGAATAGTTACATTCTTATTCACAATTGAGCAGGAGCTAATGGTTTCAAACATGGGGAGGCTGACAAGATTATACTTGAGCTTTATAGGTGGTATAGTATATCTGGTCTTTCTATTTCTTACTGTATGCAGTCAGATGCTTCAGATTTCACATGGATGACTCATACACATAAAATATGTTAAAAGTTCTCACACTCGTTCTAGAAGTCATTAAACATGTATTGCATTTATTTGGTATGTGTTTCAGAAGCATTCATCAAGCTTACATTCACAGAAGTTATCACCTGCACATGGAGGTGTTAATATTAGTCAGATGTTTTATAGTTGTTAGGGCAAGAAGAGTATTGCCAGTGGCAGGTTCTTGCCTGCATAAAGACATTTTTTGCAGAAGGACATCAGTCCTTATAAATCAGGCACTAAATTACATAATCAATCCATTTAAAGATTGCAGACATTACCTCTGGTATCTAATTTAAATTCTTGAAACAGGGAATGGAGTTTATTTTAAAAACTGGCACACTTTATAATTAAATTTTAGAGTTAATATAAAGGGTGAGACTTTGGCTGAAAAATACATGTTAGTGACACACTGGAGTTCTGCTAGATGCCTCCTCAACCCAATGCCTCACAAAAAACTTGCCTACACTGGAGTTGGCACATTTAACAAATCAGAAAATGTCATACTTCTACAGACAATGGTGCTATTGAGTTTACACAGATCAATGGGAAAACGTAGGATTAAAAAAATCTCAACATAAGAAAACTGGCCAACCTCTTTCGACAGGTGCAGTACATTTACGAGTAGCAGAGGCTGATGGGTTAGATATCCTAGGCTAGGTTATAACTACAAATACTTCAGACCAATATACAGAGATGTGTGAGACTCACCTGGAATTGTGGCAAAGATGCAGTGAGTGTACAGAAAATGTACTGTCAGCTGCTTCCAAGCTAGGGGCCTCTTGTCAGACAGTATGAGTGTTTCACCCTCTCCTGCACACAAAATGCAGGTTTTCCTTACCTAGATGAGTATAGTGCAACTGGTAGCTTCTTCGAGCACAGCCAAAATACTGATTTTGCCAAATAAGTCATAAACAAATATAAATGATGGTAGAAATGGGAGCTATTTGGCTACCTTTAAAACCTCCTAGTACAGTAATATGCTGAAAGAGAGAAAAGATAAATAATGTGATGAAATGAGGCTATTTGCTGCAGGATGAGAGACTGCAGCTATTATTCATGTTTCAGCCTTCATGATTAGACTTATTCACAAGCCAATCTGAGCTACACTGTGAGAGACAGAACATTAATACTAATTTTTATGTATGTGTTATTACATAAGTCACAAAAAATATCTTTGGATCTGGAAGAGTCTGACTTGGCATCCAGTCCCACATCATGGATTTGCAGTTGGTTTCACTTTGTTTTGTCTTACTTTCTTAGTTGAAACTATTTTTTAAAACATTTGTGTGTAAGACTCACTTTAACATTGATAAAAATTATATAGGCACACACATATTTGAAGGAAAAAAAGTGTATCAACTCATACTGAGCAGGATCACTTTAGAAAACTTCAGCTTTAAGCAAGCCTTCCGTAGCGAGTTGAAAAGAGAAGAGGTGAATGAGAGTGTTGTCAAAGTTCTTTGAGCAAGAGAAAAATCCTTTCCTTGAGTAAGAGAGAGAATAATTTTCTTTTATTAGGTTATCACTGTAGCTGAGATTTGAGACAGCTTTGTGGAGAATGGCAGATGACTATAACACTGTAGGGTGAGAAACTCGGTGTAATTAAGAAGCAACAGTTTAGTTATGCTGACCCAGATATTAAAAAAAGCAAGTTGTGCTGAAGGACAAAGCAACCCTCAGAAGAAATGTCAATAGTAGTTTAACCCTTGCTTCCTGTTATCTTCCCTGCTTTACTCCTTCTGAAGTGCTCCATTTGTTTAGCTGTGATATATTGTTCACATAGGATAATATTGTTCTATATTGAATGTCTTTGGCAGTTTGTCAGCCAACTAAAAAAACCATGAATATTGATAATGAGCTATTGTCTTTTCAGAGCCCTAAAATTTTCTGACCACTTCTAGGATAGATTTTTATTTCTTTTAGGATGGACTTATATTCTTTGTGACAAAATTTGTTTGAATGGTAAATTTTCAAAGTCACTCAGTGTTAGATAAATTGTTTCTGCTGAGATTCATGGGGATGTATATTTGATAAGCAGTAGGAAAAAAAAAAAAACAACAAACAAAAACAAACAAACAAACAACAAGAACGCTTAAAAAGCTGTTTTTTGAAAAGTTGTATTTTAGATGTCTCTGCTTTTCAATATTGACTACCGTCAAATTTAACATTCCTTCTGGGATTTTAGGAACTTTACTCCTGGTGAGCTGATTCTGCTTTGGTTAAGAAAGTTGTCAAAAATTAACTAATGTTTGTAAGGACCAAAGGGTCCTACAGTATGTAAAAATAGGCACTTGACCATGTCTGTTAACTACATAATATTTATATATCAGGAATGAGTAGCCTCAGGTTATCTGCTAGCCATCACTGGCTTCTTAGCTTTTTATTAGTACAGATTGTGTGATATGAAGATGACTTGGTTTTGAGGGAAGAATCAGGTGATATTGGGCAATTTTGTAAATGACTGGTAAAGAAGATTGTTGCTGAGCAAAACAGGGTATTGTATGTTTCCTGAGAAGGAAATATTTTTGGGTTTAGCATAGTGCTGCACTAAAAGAGCTTTAGCTGACATTCTGTCAAATGTAGAATATATAGAAATTAGATGTTTCTTTTAATACACAAGCCAAGTTGTTTTTAATACGTACTGAGAGAGATGGTACGTGAACTACTTCGCTTTATTCAGTACCAAGAAGTTGTCTGTTTTCTACTGTGGGGAAAGAACCTTCAACAAAAGCCAGTGCTGGGATTATTTAGTTTGCTGACTTTAGCAGCTGGTCAACAGCATCTGCCATAACATATTTTGAATACATAGAGGCGATTGTTGCTTGTACATGTTGTTTTCCAGGTGGCTTTTTTTTGTTGTGGATTCTTTGTTTTGATTTTTTTTTTTTTTCACAATTGTGATTAACTCAAATGGTAATCAATTGTCACAAATAAAAAGTTCTATGCTACATTTTGAAAATAGCCATTATTGAGAGACTAGAGAAACTATTAATTGTGGGCCAAATTATTGTAAGCAATCTCTAAAGGTTACTTTAATGAACATCAAGTTTCAAGGCAAAACCAAACCTACATATTATATGCAGAACATATTATCTTAAACACCCTGGTGATGGTGCTTTAACTCTTCTCTTGAAACAGTAAGTAATGTGAAACGCATCGAAGACAGCAACCAATGTATTGACCAGCAATGGCTGTTTGATGAGCCACATCCAAAGTCATATGGAAAGGAGTACTGTTGCTGGCAATCAAAGCAGAGACACCAGAAACTGAGTAGGAATTAGCAATAAATTATTTTAAACATTCCAGTTCTCAGGTTTCCACTAGACTTTAATTAAAGGGATTATATTCAGCCCTCCATGGGGAATGCTTTTCCTGTAGCTGTCTACTCTGGGGCTGGAGCACCTTGTTTATAAATATGTGGTATTTGCCACCCTTAGAGAAAAGCTACTACCTTACCAGTTCACTGGGTGTGATGTGGCAGTTCTTATGCTCTTATCTGGTTGTCTTACAGCTGGTCCTTCTATGAGGCTGGAGTCACAATGACATAGTTTGCTGGGGAAATCTACAGTCTAATCCAATTTTATGGATGATTGCAACACTTTCAGCCTCTCAGACTCACCTACAAAGGCAAGGAAGTTGAAAGGAACAGGGGAAGTTAATTTCAAGAAAGAAGATGGGAGAAACCACAAAATAAATTGATTTACCCTATTGGCATAGATCCAGAGTGTATAGAAAAATAGAGTTGGGACTCTGAAGTAAAAACTAAAAACAAGCTCCTAAATTAACAGAGATAAGAAAACAACATAAATAAAGCCTTTGATTTGACCAGAGCACTAGAGTTACCAGTATCTTTAGGCCATATAGTTTTCAGTCACCTGAAAAGAGCTTCTCCCCATTCTCTCTGTCTTCTGTTCTCTGAAAACAGAAGTATTCTCACTTTAGGGCCTTAGTCACTAGCAAGTTTTTCTGTGTCATGTTTAGAAGCTTGCACGCATTTTTCAGCTGGACACATAACTGCAAAAATACATTGTCTGCGTAGTCTAATGTGACTCATGAAACACAGCTAAAAGCTTAGTTATGGAAAAGCTTATAATGATTTCAGAAACTTACCATTCATTACTTTGCAAGCAAGGAAATTGAAAGCTGTAATGATGGCTTTTATCTTGCAAATTTACCCCAAGAACTTTAAAAAGTTCTGAATATTACAGCTAAAGAACAGGATGCTGCTGGTCAGAGCAATTAGCAATACTGTGCAATTCCAGCTTTCTGTCAAGGTGCTAGAATCTATTACAGAAAGTAATTTAATTATGCACTTTATTATCTGTAATGAATATAAATTCACTGGTTTACTTCCAAAATTTCCAATTAAATATAGGTATTATTTTTCCGTAATACCAGAAGCTCATTGTTAGCATTTATCAGAAGTACTTTGCCCAGAAGAGGTGATACTATTAACTTTTCTCCTGCTTTCTCCTTGTGTATTAGACAAACACTACTGATGTTATTTTGTGATGCAGGATAGTTCAGAAACACATGAATGGCATAATAGTGTCCCAACAGCCTTATTTATAATATAATGTTGATAGTGGAAATCTAATATGGGCTGCTATTATGGGTGATTTTGAACTATCAACAGTACCAGACAAATGGAAAATTTTTGAATGCATTGAATGTGGGGTCTATAAAAACTTAATTCAAAAACTTATGCGTGGAGTTAATTTTGATGTTGATCAATACCAGCAGTATTGGTTAGTGTCCTGGGTTTCAATATGTGGTGGGGTTTTTGGGTAGCAGGGGAGGGGGGCTACAGCGGTGGCCCCTGTGAGAAGCTTCTTGAAGTTCCCCCAGCTCCAAGTCAACCCCACCTCTGCACCAGGGCTGAGCCAATCACCTGCGCCTCTGCAAGAACATATTTAAGAATGGACCTAGAAGGAGGACTTGGACTTGTGAGGAGGAGTTGCAACACCTGTGTGAACACCAAGGTCAGTGGAGGAATGGAGGAAGAAAGGAGGGGGGAGGTGTGCCGGAGCAGAGACCCCCCTGTATCCTGTGGGGAGACAGCAGGGCGGCCCCCCCTGCCACCCATGGAGGTCACCAGTGGAGCAGATGCTGATATAGGGCCTGTGGGAGGCCCCATATGACTATTAAGGTGATTGTACCCAAAGGAGCCTGGGACCCTTTGGGAAGAAGCATCCCCCCACTGTTGTAGTTTGGTGCTGGGAGGGTTGCAGCATGCGGGGGTGTCTCACGCTGGAACAACTCGGGAAGGGCTGCAGCCGTTGGGAGGGACTCCAGTTGGAGAAAGTTGGTGTCCCATACTGGAGCAGCGAGGGAAATGCTGCAACCTGTGGGAGGGAATCACATTGCAGAAAGTTTGTGGAGGACTGTCTGCTGTGAGAGGGGGACCACGATGGAGCAGGGGCAATAAATTCCAGAAGCTTCCCTCACTGAAAATGGAAGAAGTAGCAGCGCTGACTGCACCCCCCATTCCCTGCCCCTGCTAGGGGAAGAGTTAGAGATATCGGGAGCAGAGCTGAGCCCGGGAAGAAGGGAGGGGTGGGGGGAAGGTGTTCTCAAGATATGGAAATGATTCTCAGTGTCCTGCTTTGTCTGTTCTTAATGTTCTGTAATAAAATTGTTTTCTTTTTGGATTCCTCCTATTCAGTCTGTCTTTTGCCTGTGACCATAATGGGTGATTCATCCCTCCCTGTCCTATCTCGAATCCCAAGCCTTTGCTTATTTTCTCCTTCCCATTACTGAAGGGGAAGGTGGGAGTGAGCGGCTGCATGGTGCTCAGTTACCCTCTAAGCTCGTATCACAACAGTTAGTTAGTATAGACAGTTTAAATAATAAATATATTCAGTTTTCTGACAAGATGTATTTACAACATGCTCTCACTTCCTACTCCCCACAAAGGAAATCTAAGGACTTTAACGATGTAGAAACTTGCAACTATTTTGGAAAATTTAATTGGCAAATTTAATAGGCAAATATACTAGCGGTAAGTAAGATGTTATATGAAAGTAGGAAGAGGAGCAAAGAGGTAAAGAGATTCGCAGAAGTACAGAAGAAAATTGGGCCCCTAAGTTCCATTAATTTTCCAGGTAAATTTAGCACATAAATCCTGTTCTGTTTTTAATATTTAACAGACATAATGTTAGCCTGTTTTCTGTATACTTTACATGGAAAACATAAGGTAGGAATAACTTGAATTCAGATCTATTGAAACAAAACTACATCGACATGGAGTGGCAATAGAGGTAATTCAGTAAACTGCTTTCAAATTGAGATACGTTTTAACAAGTAGTTGTCATCTGAATACCACTGTCTGGTTCAAACTGAAGGAATATGATGCACTTTCTCCTGTGTCTATTGCTAGTGAAAGAAGATTATGTAAAAACAGAACTATTTGTGTTTGTTCTTAAAGGGACCCTCAGGCCAGAGAGTTCTTAAATGTCTTTTCTGAGTTTTA